GAGAGTGAGAGTGACAGTGAGAGAGAGAGAGAGAGAGAGAGAGAGAGAGAGAGTGAATGATAAGACAGTTAACATTTACGAAGATAGTAATCGAGTTAAAATTATTTTACACTATGCGATGGACTTAGTAGTTTACATGGATATTTGATCCAATTAAATCCGCCATTGTTCATAAAATCCGATTTAATGTTTTTGTCTTTGTTGGTATTTTTTTTGTTTTGTTTTTGTTTTTCATTATACGATAGGAAAATTCGTTCAAACTTATAGTATACGACTATTAAATAATTAATTAGATCATCCCCGCTGCTATTCGAGTGTATTTTAAAGAGGTAAAGATGAAATTCAGCTTTTGAGTATTTCATAGTAGCTAAGCTTTATCGATCGATGCTGCACTACGTAGCAATGCCAAATTGACAGTCGTCACTACACTTACGAAAATTCCTGACAACAGTTTACTTCAACCTGTCCCTGTGATAAGCACACAACGTAATAAAAATGTCCAATAAAATTGGGTGCTCGAATTGAAGAATTGCAGTAGGGTATCGTCGGGAAGCAGACAAGCCCAGCTCGGCACACACACGCGCGCGCCCAGAATGCACGTGCAAATAAGTGCGCGATGACACAAGTGTAATAGAAATCGATAGAAAAGAAAAGAAAAGGAAAGAAAAATACGGCTATCGTAAGATAGAATATTAGAGATAAAATTACAATATCGGCGATGCAAGAAACTGTTTCTCGGGCTAAAATCGTAATTGGAACGACTTTGCGTGCTCTACGACGGTTCAAAGTAAGAGATACAACGTTTATAATGGAAAACATATCCATGTGTACGATATACAATATTTATACGAGCTTCTTATCCATGTGTACGATGAAAATAATATAAAAAATTACTTACGAATAATATTTACAGTAGGCGACTAAATATGACGCATCTGCCGCCAATAATTATGCAGGTGAAAACGCACCGATGCAGCTCCGACACAATCCTGGCTAAACTCTGTCGATCTCGGCGCAAGCTCCTACCTTATAATCCTCTTTCCATATACATAAATGCATATATATATATATATATATATATATATATATATGCATTTATGTATATATGTATATATAGATTCTTTTCTGTATTTATATAAAGGCTATCTTATTCACGATATCAATTACGTCACATTGATAAATATATAAATCTTGAATCACAATCATTCGTCGTACGTCATTTTCATTCTCTACTTTGCACTTATTACGCCTTTTTTTTTTTTTATCCAATGACGTTGGTTTCTCTGCTCTTTGCGTCGCACAAGCGCCCAATACATCATTCACGTTATAAAAGTAAAAAATATGCCGAGGCTGCGATCAGGGATGCGCCGTTTTTAATTTAAGCGTTTCAACGAGATAAAATCCAGACGCAAATTGACAATATCATTAAGTTCGCGTGCCGTCGAGAAAAACGGAAGATGTCTGACTGTTTGTGTCGTTTTATTATTTTTGTTATGTATTTTGCTGCTTTTCATCAAAGAATTTTCCACTAACGAAAATGACTAAATTAAGCAGCTTTGGGACGGCTGAGGAACGTTAGATTGATAATCGCAAAGCGATTCCTTCCGAATCGATATGGAGAGAACGAGCGTTTGAGCAGCTGAAGAGAAGGCAAGAGAAAGCTAATGAATGAGTTGAACGACAAGAAAATCTCGTAAAATACATGAAATTTTGTTTTATCAGCGTTAGTGTGAACCCCGGGGCGCAACAAATAACAATAGTTATTACGTATTATTGTTACTATTAGTACTACTATTACTATTACTACTACTACTATTATTATAATTATAATAATAATTATTATTATTATTATCATTAGTATGATAATACGTATAGACATGTAATAATAATAATAATAATTATTATTATTATTATTATTATTATTATAATTATAATAATAATCATAATGACAATGATAAAATGGAAAATAGTAATAATAGTAATGGTTCCGATGACAACAACAACAACAATAATAATAATAACAACAACAACAGCAACAGCAACAACAACAACAACAACAACAACAACAATAATAATAACGATAATGATAATAATGATAATAATGATAATAATGATAAATGAACGAAGAGGAAGAAGAAAAAGCGTGAGATTAATAAATTAAAAATTTCCAACAGCGATGGCTCTCAGCAATACTCTTTTTTTCAATCGATTCTCTAGGAATCTCGTGAATGTATGTAAGCAAAGAGGCACTCGCACCAACGTTCGAGTACGAAACAATTTTGCGATGAAGCGAGGCGAAGGCAAATGGCGTCGTCTCGATTCAACGTAGAAATTGACGAGATTCCGCAAGCCGAGCACGGCGCATCGTCCTCTCGATCATCTCCAATAAATCCTCGATTATTCACAATCTTCCCTAGCGAGTGTTCGTCGTCGATAATAATCAATTACGGATAATACTAATTTATAATCGTTAGCAATAATAATCATTATAATAATAATAGCAACAAATTATAATAATAAATTATAATCGTTATTTAAGTATCGCTTCCTTTCTCGTCGTCTCTAGTGTCACTATGCAATTCATCGAATTCCTTTTCATTAGAAAATTTACACACATGCACGCACACACATAATGGCTCATTCATATACGCGCATATAAATCTATTTGCCTCACTATAAACGCGTGTTTTCGCGAGCTTGTACAACTCGGCGTTTAAAATAAAACTTTGAAACTTTAAGTTTCAATGTTAATGGCCTCTTCGCGTCATATATTTTCATTAATTTCATTCCTCCTCGTACAATAAAACAAGCCCTTTGCTTTATTTGCGCGTACTCTCATGCTAACGTTCGTTCGTCTCTTTATAATTACACTATAATACATTGTTTCCCTTCTTTTTGTTTATGCGCATATAAATAAATGTATATATATATATATATATATATATATATATATATATATTTATATATATTTATTTATTTATTTATTCATATGTCTTGTGAAAAAAAAAGGGGAAAAATACTAAATCCACTACAAATAATAAAGTATCGAAGTACATGTACAACGTAATATAGTAATAAAGTTTACGGCTTTCGCCGAGGCGAACGGGAAAACGAGCGCGTAGTATAGAACGTGAAAGCCATACCTCTCTATGTCTCTCTCTCTCTCTCTCTCTCTCTATCGCGGGTCACCGATTATACTAATCTCATTTCAATTTACGATTTCCGACATCTTAACACACCAATGCCATCCAATGTACAGACAAAAGGCATCGATCGGCACGTTAATGTCCAAACGGAATTTCCTTTAATTTCTCGTTCTCGCTCCTCGCCGAAAACACCAATCTTTTTATACAAATATATAAAAAAAATTCTTATAGCGCTTCCTATAAAAATAAAATATCGAATATTTCTATAAAAAGTTTGGTCTTGTCGGATTTACAGTTGGATTTACTACGCGGGCACCTTCACTTTACTCAAAATAAACATTATGAGCAGTCGTCACGTACATACCGACAACAACTCGGTCGTGTCTTAAAAAGTGTGTGGTGAGGGGTTATGGGGGGCTGGGGGGATGGGGAGGGGGATGAGGAGCGAACAAAAAAAATCTCGTATTTACTTACAAAATCAATAACAAATGTTCGCTCAGTCCGTGGGGGGTTCTCTTTAAAATTGAAAATGAAAAATAAAAATAAATAGATGGATGATGATGAGGAGGAGGAGGAGGAGGAGGAGGAGGAGGAGGAGGAGGAGGAGAAAAATGAAATAAAAACATAGCGTCTCGAAACATCCAACGTCTGGCCTTCGCGTTCTACTTGTTGCCTTAAATTAAATATAGTGGGTAAAGAAGGATGAAGAAAGGAGGGTGGGAAAAAAATTCCGGGAACAAAAGTGACGGTGGAGTGAGAGAGAACGAGCCATCGGTTTCATAAGCGCGAGAAGGCGCACGCGTCTACGGCTTCCGCCGCCCTTCCTCCCCCCGCAACGAGTATTGCTTGAAAACGCAGTTGGAAGCTCAGCCGAAGAGGGGGGCGCGACCTCAGAGCTGCTCCGAGAGTATAATGACGCGAACCGCCTGGACGTTGTTGTCCTGCGCGTGGGCCGCGCCCTTATACGACACTCGGCCCTCCTCTAGGCTCTCGATGGCCGTGTACTCGCAGCCCTCGGCCTCGGCCCTCTCGCCCTCGGGCTTCGCTACGGTCGCGGTGCTCGACGTCGTCCCGTGGGCCTCGATCACGTCCGGGATGCTCGAGAGCCGCTGCTCCAACGGTAGCGGCTCCTCCGTGGCGAACTTAACCCGCTTGGGGCCGACGTTCGTGGGGATCTCGGGCTCCTGGAGCCGCTCCTCCTGGACCTCGGCCGCGAACGAGACCCGCCTAAGGAGGGCCGCCTCGAGGGCGGACTCGGTCGTCTCCGCGCCCAACAAATGCTGCTGGCGCTCGACCATGGAGCGCGCGGTCGCCGCCGCGGCGAGCAGCTCCTCCGAGGCGAGGCTCGGTCGATGACACTGGTCCGACAGTTCCGGCACCGGCTCCAGGAGACCCGCGCGCTCGTGCCACCTCGAGAGACTTCCGACGCCGACGGCATTCCCGCTCTGTCGGCATCTAGGCTCGGGTTCGGCGATCTCTAGGAGGCCCGATTTGTCGACGCGCCTGGCTGCGAGCGGCGCGCCGTCGAGGGCCTCGGGGCCCAGTCTGGACCCGCCGCTGCCGCCGCCGCCGCCACCGCCGCCGCCACCGCCGCCGCCACGAGGCAACGTCGCGTAATAGAAAGCACTACCAGAGCTGACGAGGGGCGGTTGGGGACCGAGGGGTGAGCGTAAGTAGGTCGTTGGGCTGGCGCTCAAGGGTCGGTAGGGGTCGTTCTCAATGACGATTTCCATGCGGTGCGAGGAGCAGCCAGAGCCTAGGGCCGACGACTGCTGCTGATGCTGCTGTTGCTGATGCTGTTGCTGCTGATGTTGCTGCTGATGTTGCTGCTGATGTTGCTGTTGCTGCTGCTGTTGCTGCTGCTGCTGGTGCTGCTGCGACTTGGGCAGGTGGTGCGAGGGGGCCTGCTGCTAGAGCCAGGTAGTGCGCGATTTGCCGGCTCGCGAGCCGGTGGGCTGGTCTCAGACTATTATTTCGCGAATTATGCGACGCCCCCGACTGTTGGGGGTCGAGTAGCCGGACTCGAGCGACTCGTCGTACGAGAGGCTCACCTGCTGCGGCGGTTTCGCATCCTCGTCGTAGGTCTCCTGGTAGGGCAGACCCGACACATCGTACGGTGAATCTGCGAAAGAGAAGAAGAGGACGTGTAGGTTAGGCGCTAGTGCGTTACGAGGTTGAGGTTGAGGTATGATGGTCCAAGTCGTGCTTTTAGGAATTGTGAGTTGCTGGTTGTTATTTAGACGTAGTTAATCGTATTTCTTGGCTCCACTTTGGGTGAGGTGGGGGGGCGGGGGTGGTGGAGGGGAGTCTTTTAGTGTCACTTTTAAAACCGATTGCAGATCATTAGGGAGCACGTGACTTTTGGGAAATCGATCTGTCGAAATTGCTAAATTACCTAACTGTCGATGAGCATGGGATTACACAAGGCTAATGCAGCCATTATGCGGCATTAGCAAGCCGTCGTCAATCAAATATTAGAAATATTTGCTGGTATTTCATTACGGAGCCTCGAGATGACGAGAGGCTTCGTAAGCTACCGAGTCGTCGCTTTTGAAGCGCACTGTATGCGTGGAGGGGATGGAGGTGGTGAGTGGTGGGGGGCTTGATAATTGACCGAAGATCCGTATCGCAATAGCGACAACGTTTCAAACGACAGTCACAACAACAACAACAACAACAACAACAACAATAATAATGATAATGATAATGATGATAATGACGTGTCGAGGGGGCCCCGCTGAGGGGTGGGGGGGGGGGGGGAAGAGAACAATGATATTTTAAGAATGCCGGACTTAATGGCCGGATCGTTATCAACAATCGAATGGTTTCGGCAAGCTCGATCAATCGTTGAGCGAGGGGCCGGGGGAAATCGCGTTATTGTCTTGCGAAAGACGGGATTGATTGGTCGATCGAAACGACGTGACTGAAAAGGCACGAGGACGATGAGTATGAGCGCGCCAACACCGCGATGCACGATGCACTTGCGCATAGTTTACGGTAACGAGGTTTGCCGGAGGTAATAATGATGATTGGTGGCGGTAAATTGCGCGACGGGCATCGTGCAGAAGACGTGCGTGTAACCGCGTGGAAATTTGCGTTCGAGCGTGAAAATGAGCTCGCGAGGTCACAATATGCTGTCGAGATAACGGTTGGCCCGGGCGCGTGCGTGTGCACGTGTCGTCATCGAATTCTTAATTTTCAAATAGTTTCGGGCCGAGCGAGGGAGGGGAGAAGTCAAGGTGGGCCGAAAACTTTCAAGGCGATTTTCCCGGCTGTAGCAGCCCGATACCAGCGAATGTCCCATGGATTTAATGGGGAATCACGTCTGGGCAAACGCCGCTGCTTAAATAGACGTAACGAGGAGAGCTGCCGGGTTGGCCCTCTCCCGGAGTGAAATTAGTTAGTCGGTATCTCGAAATGAAAGGAGCACTCGCGCGGTACTAAAGTAATTTTCTTTTCTCTCATTATAATGAATTAATGTTTTTGTTGACGATGCAGGCAGGGAACGCATGACGGTCGTGATTGTATTTGGAGCAAGTAATACGTAAAATTATTTTATGTATGGGCGGCGATGTAATTGGGTAAAAAAAATGTCGTGAAGAATCACGGGGCAGAGAGGCCCAATAATATGTGAGGAAACAGTTTTGATTACGCAATTAGGATGACGTTGAGTTGAATGAAGAAATTAAGAGAGAGATAGAGAGTGAGAGATAGAGAGAGAGAGAGAGAGAGAGAGAGAGAGAGAGAGAGAGAGAGTGAGAGATAGAGAGAGAGATAGAGAGAGAGAATGTAATCTTGGTTGGAGCGGTCGAGCGCTTCTCGACGATAATTCTCGTAGGCTGCACGTAGCCGCAGAAAGAAAAAAAAAAGAAAAACAAAAAAGAAGGAAAGAAAGAAAGAAAAGAGAAGAAGAAAAAAAATAAACGAAAAAAGGAGAGACTGAAAGGGCGAGCGAAGAGGGATACGGAGAAACAAGCGATTAATCGTATCCGAGGAAAAGGTAGGAAAGTACTGGCTCATTGTTCACTGGCTGCGGTACTCTCTCCCCGTGTGCAGCCGCAGTGCCAGCGCTATAACCATTATCATCGACTGTTGAAAAACGGGAGGAGATGAGGCAGAGAGCGAGATGGTTTTACTAACCGACATGCTTCTGCGACTTGACAACCGTGGCGAATGGCTCGCAGAATTGCTGCCGACTCAGATTGTGGCTCTCCCTGTAATCTTCCCGCTGCGGCAGGTAATGCGGGTGGGCCGGGTAATCGGACTCGGTGGTGGCGTAACCGCCCATGTCGTAGGGGGCGCCGACCACGCCGACGTTACCGGTGTTGACTCCGACGCCGTTGGCCGCTGCGGCTGACTTCATCTGCCAGATCGAGTCTTGCGAGTTCACGGAGCCGCCGTTGTTCGAGTTGGAGTAGCTGTTCTCCATGTAGCCCATGTTCACGCCTGCTGCCAACGACATACGAATTAGGTGGACGAGCTCGTCGAGATTTTGGCTTTTACTCACTCTCTCTCACTCTCTCACTCTCTCTCTCTCTCTCTCTCTCGCACCTCGCACCTCGCACCTCGCACCTCGCATCTCGCATCTCGCATCTCGCACTTTCTTCGTTCTTTGTCGTGGCTACTTTAATGCTGACGCTTAGAGAACGGTAACTAGCAGAGCCGACGTTTGTCCAAGTTCGGACAATGTACGAGCCCGAGCGTACCGGGGCCTTACAATTTTATTATTCTTTTCGGCTCTCGGCCATTACTGGAAATTCTACCACCGCCTTTGCCAGATTCGCGAGGCTCAATAGATACGATGCCAGATATTGAAATACTTTGCTAAACTATTTATAATAAAGTTTTGCCTGCCATTATACGGTTTAATAAAAATCCACTGTTACGTATTATATTCTCGCTGCGCGAGACACTGTGTTTTATCATGAAAAATATTTAACGAGAAACTCGCTTAAAATTGCGCCCCGTAGACATATTTTTCTGAGCGAGTGTGTATTAACGATGACGTCGACGCCTTTTGAAATTACATTCTTCCTTCTTATACGTTATTTAGTTTTGTTTTGCCTTTTCTTTTAAATCGCGACACTTTTATCATAGTACAAGAATTTCATGTTTAAAGTAATATTATCCGCCGAGGCAAATTATACGAGGATTTTTCACGTCCGCTTTTAATGTAAATGTCGAGTGCGTCGAAGAACCCTAACTAACTAACGGCCGGCGCTACACTTCTATACATAACCAATAATTATATGTAATTTTCGTTTCGTCGTCTACGCACTGTCCGACATTTAAACGTCAAGATTTATTTATGCAATTTTGTTATTTTAATGTAGGGACTCGGCGACATTTCGACAAACTCGCAATTACTATCGACGTAGACAAAGCGCGAAAATCGCGATGTCTTAATCGGTTAGAGGCTCTTGATGCCCTTAAATGCTATTTTCGGAAAACATTAAGCGCCCGACGATCGGACCGACGACCGACATGCCTAATGTCACAACCAACCTGATCATGCCCCACGCGCGATTAAAAAAATTCCTTTAAACCTCACCACCCGCCTATTATTAATAATTTCTTAAAGTCTCTCTTATCTATTCCCGTTAAACCACCGCCACGGTATTTTCTATTTTGCTGGCAGAGCTCTTTTACCGCTAGGTGAGGTTAAGTAAGGTAAGGTGACGACCGCTAGACTTGGTCACATAAAAAAATCATACTAACCAATTAAATTTAACGAGCTTATGCGTATTACGCGATGCCCGATATCCGTCCAATTGTTTTCCCCTCGGAAATATCGCTAAAATTCGCAACGCGCCTTCGCTAACGAACCTTCTCCCACCCATGCGAATTATAAATAAAAAAACAAAAAACAAAAAACAAAAAACAAACAACAAAAAAAACAAACAAAAAATAAAACAAAAAAACAAAAAACAAAAAACAAAAAACAAACAACAAAAAAAACAAACAAAAAATAAAACAAAAAAACAAAAAACAAAAAACAAAAAACAAACAACAAAAAAAACAAACAAAAAATAAAACAAAAAAACAAAAAACAAAAAACAAAAACAAAAAACTAAAAAAAGAAGAAAAAGTTTGGCCTTGGGCTTGGAATTCGAATTATAGTTAGCGTTGTTTGAAGCGCCATGGAGCGCGCGGCCAAACGTAGTAGCTAAGTCAACTCGTCTTCAACGAGTCCTTTATCAGTTCAGATAAGATTTATAATGGAAAGAGTCGATTTACCATTCTCGCCGTTGATGTTGTGATTGGGCTGGTGGTAGCCGTAGCCTGGTTGCGCGTACGCCGGTGTCTTGGAGTCCTCGAGGGCGAGCGCGTGATCCAAACTGTGCTCCAGGGCCTTGTTCTCGGCGTAGTAGGGCGGCGGTGCCTGGGTCTGCTGTCCGTTGCTCGTCACCAGACTCGGTCGAACTCTGCGGAGTCACGAGAACAATGCTCGATTTAGTTGACGCGACGAAAATTAAATAGCGGGCGAACCACCACTTGGCGGGCACTCCATCCCATCTCCCCCTCACCTCCCACTCAAACGCGATCATCGGATGCTTGTGAATAACGTTTATTGGCATTATTCGCGCACAAGGAGTTGCTCCCTACTCCCGCGTACTCTGTATCGCGTATTGGACAAGCATTCGCTTATCCTTAATTGGCATTCGTAAAAAAGGTGGAAAGTCGTTGTTTGGGGTGGGGAGGGGAGGGGAT